CTTTGAATTGGGGGGAGACGGGGTTGGCGGGGGAGCGGGGGCGGCGAGGATTCCGAACTCACCTGGGTCGAAGAAGGCACGAATCGGAGCAGCAATGCAGCTGCCGTGGCGGAGCAACGCAGCTGTCTTTCGCGTCGACGCGAAGGTGACACTTCACCGGCCTTTTGTCTGGGAGCGACGCAAGGGAAAAGACCCTTGGATCCTCATGCGGAGCCGATTTTAACAGTCTCGGACAGCACCGGCAGCCGAATCGTCGCCCCCCTTGGCATCAATTCCCACCGCGGCACCAGTTCTTCCCTCACCCCATCCTGGCCCTCAGCCGACGGATCGACGGCCCAGACTTTCCCGGGATTCACATCGTCGCCCGCTGGGCAACGATTCTCACCGCTGCACCTGTTTTCCCCGCACCCGATCGTGGTCCTCAGCCGACGGATCGACGACCCTGATTTTTCCGGAATTCGAAACGTCGGTCTCGCGGCACCGATCCCCCCGAGGCACCGGGTTCCGAACCCACACCCCGCAGGCCGCATTCCCCCGCAGGCCTTCCACAGAAAGTATAAATAGTGGTGTGGGCCCACCATCTCCTATTTCTGCAAGTTCGTCGAGAGCAATGGAGCGTTGCGGAGGTTTGCAAAGTGTCCGAAGCCGGCGGAGCGCTGACTCGCACGTCGGAGGCTCACGCAGAACGCAACAGAGATCTCGCTCGCACATCGAAGGTTTGCGCAGCATCGAAGCGAAGTGACGAGCATCTGCATCGAAGGCAGCAGCGGAGGCCTGGGAGAACGGTAAACCGCCCTGAAGCAACCACGTGCTGCCACGTGGCATCTCCGCCCATGCAGAGGCCGCCGTCGAGTCGAACTCAACGGGGGCATTGTCGAGTCGAACTCGACAATGGCCCGGGGTCATCATCGAGTCGGACTTGACAATGGGCCGGGGTCATCGTCGAGTCAGACTCGACAATGGCCTGTGTTCATCATCGAGTCGAACTCGACAATGGCCCGAGGTCATCGTCGAGTCGGACTCGACATCCTGTGGTCATCGTCGAGTCGAACTCGACAATGGCCTGTGGTCATTGTCGAAGCGAACTCGACAATGGCCCGGGGTCGTCGTCGAGTCGGAGTCGACAATGACCACAGGCCGTTGTCGAGTCGAACGCGACAATGGCCTGTGGTCATTTTCGAAGCGAGCTCGACAATGGCCCGGGGTCGTCGTCGAGTCGGACTCGACAATGACCACGGGCCATTGTCGAGCCGAACTCGACAATGGTCTGTGGTAAATGTCGAAGCAAACTCGACAATGGCCCGGGGTCGTCGTCGAGCCGAACTCGACAACGGCCTTTGGTTATTGTCGAATCGAACTTGATAATGGCCCGGGGACGTCGTCGAGTCAGACTCGACAACGGCCTGTGGTCATTATCGAGTCGGAATCGACAAAGGACAGGGGTTATTGTCGAGATGGAATCCACGACGGCCTGGGTCACTGTCGAGTAGGATTCGACAATGGTCAGGCCGTCGCCATCAGTCGTCGAGTCGAACACGACACCCGGGAAGCGCCAAAGCCTCCGGCCACTATCGAGTCGGACTCGACGATGACCCCAGGGCGTCGTCAATTTTGTCTCGGCATTGTCGAGTCTGACCCGACGATGAACCCAGGCCGTCGAGTCGAACTCGACGGTGGACCAGCGCCAAGTCGTACGACCGACGTCGAGTCGAACTCGACAAAGGCCCGGGGCCGTTGTTGAGTCCGACTCGATGACCACGGTCCGTTGTCGAGTTCGACTCGACAATGGCCATATGACTTGCCGCTGCCGATGTGTTGGACTCGATGGCCCCATGCTGGCCGCTGTCGACTTCGGCTCGACGATGCCCTACTGTCCCGCTGTCGAGTTCTACTCGACGACGGCGTGCTGGCCATTGTCGAGTATGACTCGACGGTGGCAAGCCGGCCATCGTCGAGACAAGTTCTACGAACTCGTCCGCCGGCAAGAGCCAAGGCCTCTGGCCATCCGTTTGAGCTTCGTCGATTGTCCGTCATCGGCCTCGTCGCGAGGAACGTGACGATGGATAGCCGCCAATGGAATTTGTCGTTCTGTGTGTTTTCTCCTTCTGTTTTGGGAATTCGCAATGCCTGGTTGTTGTGTGTAACTGCGATGGCTCCTCGGTGAGTGAGCGTGTTCGACCTTAGCAATGGTTCCCTGTTGTGGTCGTCAATCGTCTGTGTGTGTAGGACGTTTGCGATGGCTCACCGCTTCGATTACTCGTTCCCTTTGAATGCTAGCACAAGGTACCTGCGAGGTTCAAGGCGGGAGACAACTATACTTGGGCCCGTAGAGAAGACTTCGACACGGACCCTTGGATGAGTGTTATGCCCTGGTTTGAAAAGCCCTTCGATGCATTGTCCGAATTGGACTGGGAGAACACAATGAAAGACTGCCCTTGGGCATCTGATTATCGACTAGCATCCAGCCAGGAATGGGGGACATTCATCTTCCTCGACCACATCCTCGTGACGAAACACACGCCGATGTTGTCTGCGGCATTTCGTACCCGAGACCTGTCTTTGTCGTTGACTGCGCACAACGTGTCGTGTCCACCGCGCTTGTGGGGACCATCGATGAAGATGGAGTTGCTCGACTGCGCGAAACAGAACCAGTTTCTAGAGGAATATCCCCTTCCTTTTCAGGACAACTTGACGGGGAGTGTGTCGTACTTCTACGTACATGTTGATCTCTGTCGTTTCTCTTTCGCTAGGGTTCTTTGTGTTTCGGTAAGAAATAGAAGTAAGACTTCAGCGGAAGCGAGTATTTATGTGTCCAGGAACGAGCTCATCGTTGACGGGGACTCGATTATGTTAACGCATGGTTGGAGGAACGGTAGGTTTTACGTGAAACTGGCGGGGCAGGTCAATACACCCCGGCATTGGGAGGAGGTCGAGGAGTACGTGAAAGTCATTAGAGACGCCATAGGTCGCACTTTAGCGAGATCATGTGGTTTCCTCCGTGCACGATACGTGTCTTGCTTCTCCTCCACTGCAACCCTGTGCAGTCCACAACTCCTGACATACGGTTCATCCCTGAACGCAGTGTACGGTTTCGGGGCGAAAGGATAGGTGAGGTCGTGAGGGAGGTCATGGGAGATGAACAATGTAGGACATGTCAGCTATTCAGCTGTTCAGCAAAAGTGACACCTGAGACTGTGTATGCGTGCGAGCATTGAGTTTGATGTGAGCTTGTCGATGTCGGTTTAACCTCTCTCTCTCTTTCTCTCTCTTATGTGTGCGTGTGTGTGTTTAGTGATCGGTGGAGCGTACTGTTAGTCGCTCGTTGCGGGTGTCGGTTGCCTGCCTTGCCAATTGAATGCCTCGAATTGATGATGGATGTAGGCTTCCAATTGATGTGCCTTGATTGGTGTGCCTTGTTCGTGACGCCGCTTCCTATTCAGCGAAAGATGAACAGTGTGAGAAATGTGGGTCATTCAGCAACAGTGTGGACTGAGACTGTGTGTGTTATGAAAGCAATGGGTTTGATCTGAAATTGTCGATGCCGGCTTTCAATCCGTCTGCTTTGTTTGATGTGACTTTTAGCTACGCCGCTCCCGTGTTCTGTTTGCCTGCTTTTGGATACGCCGTCCCGTTCCCGTGTTCTGTTTGTCAGCCCGGTCGTTTCGAACTGTCGCGCTGGCCCCCCACGTTTGAGTCGAACTCGATCGAATCGACCTCCATCGAATCGATCTCGATCGAGTCGAACACGATCGAGTCGGACATGATCGCCTGGGCTCACGATCGGATCCAACACGATCGTCTGGACTCACGATCGCCTGGACTCACCTTCGAGTCGACACGATCAGCTCGAAGACGATCGCCTTGACTCACCATCGAGTCGAAAACGATCACCTGGGCTCACGATCGACTCGAACACGATCGAGTCGAGCACGATCGTGTCGAAC